GTCATAAAATTCAGGACAGATAATGCTTCAGCATGGGTGAAACGCGTCCAGAGTTACTGTAAGTTTTTTTCATTTTTTGTCTGCCCCTTCAGGCTGGTGTGTGTTTTATCTATTTTTTTTTTTTTTTTTACACATTCTCGAGTTAGTAACAGTGTGGGACACGCAGGTCCCAAGCAAACCGTGCAGTGTATAGTATTAGGCATTTGTGTGAAGTATCTATGTGGGTTCGCAGGCCTCTAACATCTGAGGACTCGCAGGTCCCGTCTCTTATACTTGTATTCTCTTGTCGTCTGGAGTCTTCTTGTTACATTTTTTTGGTTCAACGTTAGGTTAACACAAATAAATAGCTCTAGCACCGAGGTGCTCAGGCCTTCATGAATGGTTGAGACGAGTGGTGTTAGATCCTAGTATGTGGTGGACTCGCAAGTCCGCTCTAGTTGTGTAGGCCTCTCCACCCCCCCTCTTGTATCATGTGTCGTTGCCCCAAGTGAGTAATTTGACAGAGGTGTCTGTGTGTTTGGTGTGAGTTTATAAGATGGGAGATCGTCCCTCATTATGTAGTTTGTCGTGGCATGTTGCGGTCTGTGCGATGATCTATTATAGTTGTCCGGGGTTGGTTGTTATGGAGATTTATTTTTCCTTTCTTTGTGTGTTACGGGTTTCGTTGTGGCCTTATTCTGGATCCGTGGACCAGTTCTGAGTGTGGGGTTCATGTGTCACCAGGTTTGTAGACTACAGTTGCTAATGCTATAAGGTGTGTGGCCCGTTCTCCGGTCTATTGCTGCCAAGTCGTTTCCTGGGTGTTGTTATTTGAGTCGGCTATGTAAGTCTGGGCTCCTTGTTGGGTCTGTTTGTGTTCATTTTGTTGTTTGTCTGGTTTGTGAGAGTGGTGCGAATCCGCCGAGTGTCGTGTTTGAGTCGCGTGTGGTGATTGTCTCGATCTTGTTGTACAATTTTCTTTGTCGGGTGAGTCAGGCCCGGGGTGGAAATGTGGTGTTGTTTTCCTTGCCGCTCCATCTTGGGGCTTTGTGGTGTATGTTTGTTGGGCGGCCGTATGTGCGTGATGTGTTGTTCGTGTGGGGGTTGCCGGTATATTGTGTTTGGTGTGTCCCGTGTGTGTAGAGGGTATGGCGTGAAGGAGCGGATGGGAGAGAGACAGAGAGGCCCCCCTAGTCCCTTCCTCCGCCAGCCGCACCCCCGTGTCCCGTCTTGCCACGTACATTATCCAGGGTTGCCATTTGTCAACATGATTTGTGAGGGTGTCCCTCAAGATCGCGTGTGTTTCTTCTGCGGCTCTGATGTCTTCTACCCCGGTTAGCCATTGTTCCATTGTAGGGGTGTGTGTCATTTTCCAGAGGGTAGGGATTAACACCTTGGCTGCATCGAGGAGATGGCGTAGGATAGAACGTTTGTATTTTGAGATCGGGTCTCTTGTGTGGTGTAGGAGTATATTTTCTATAGATAATTGTGTCGTATCCCCTAGAACGTCTTTGATGCGAGATATGATCTGGTTACAGAACGGTTTGATATTGGTACATTCCCACCAGATGTGTTTCAGCATTCCTACTTCTGTCTCGTATCTCCAACATGTCGCTGGGGTGTTGGGGAATATTTTGTGAAGTAGGTCTGGGGTTCTGTACCAGAATGTCAATAGTTTGTAGTTCATTTCTTGGTAATATGAACTAATTGTAGATTTGTGATGGAGGATGAGAATTTTGTCCCATTGTGCGTCAGTGAATACCCTGTCAGTGATGCTTTCCCTTTTTTTTTTTTATCTCAGTGTTGCCTGTTGGTCGTCTGTGATTAAGTATTGGTAGAGTGTCGCTGTTGGTTTCTGGACAGGTGTTTTTTTGTCGCATATTTCCTTGTACCATGTGAGGGTTCTGTGCACTGTGTTTCTGTTTGGTAGTGTGTGGTAGAAATGCGTCAGTTGTGAGTATCGGAATCTTTGCATGGGGGTTGGCGGGCCCTCTACTAGTTGTTCTAGGGGGTCAGTCCAGTAGCGGTCAGTGTTTTGTGGAGTGGAATGAAGTCCTCCCCTCTCAGGAAGTCCCAGGTTTTGGTTGGTAGTCCTCCTCCCAGTGTTTGGTTGTGCGTTAACGTGGTCATCGGGCTAGGTGTGGGAGAGATGGTTGCCATTTTCTGTACTGTCGGCCAAGTTTGAAGGGTGTTTTTCCTTTTATGTATTTTTGTATCACTGCATTTTTTTTATTTTTTAACCAGTGACTCCCCTGAGGGAGACAGAATTAATTGACATGTAAAACAAAAGAGGGGAGTGGAGCTGAGCTGAGCTGAATAACTGAGCAAAAAATAAAATTCGGAGGCAGCACTGCTGAAAATAGGGGATTCCCTCAAGACCCCTAAAATTTACTGGAAAAGACAAGACAAGAAACCAGGCTCAGCCGCTAAAATCTTTTTAATATCACCTTCTCGCCATAGAATAGTGCATTTCTGTAATCTGGTAAATTTAAAGCAACCTGGGTTATTTTGGTGTGCAATAAAATTTTGATACAGTATGGTTTTGGTATCCTTTTATTATAGTGCTGCAGTGTTCTGATGTTCGTGTTTTTAAATTTCTAGATGTCATGTCTACATATTGAAGGCCACATGGGCACTCCAAAATATAGATCTGATAGATAGATTTCGGTAAGAAGAGATTTTAAAATTTGGACCTCCTCTGGTGTGAAAAAAATGTGTGAACCACCATTCGAATTCCTATCGTTACAAATGTTTAAACTTGACCACCATCTCTTTACCTATCTAAAAGCTGTGCAAGTCAACTGAATACCCCATTGTTATCGTTGAAAATCAGCATGAGGAATGCCATTGGGGTACCTCACGTGTGTTGTTAAATATCTCTGCAATGCAAAAAAAAAAAATTAAAAAAAAATTTGATGGATACAATTTAGCGTGTTGTTTAAAATTTGTATTAATAACATTCTTTTTTAAATTTTTGGGGATTTTTGTATGGACTTTGCTTTATTTTATTTTTTATTGTTGTAACATCAGCATTTGTAGATGGTTATTTGTATTCCTGTTTTACTATTTGGTGTTTTAGTACTTATTGGCACAACCTGGTTTCTTCTCTTGTCTCTGACATTAATTGACATGTGCTTGAAGATTTTGGGTTGACTGTCACTTATGAGGTCTGCACATACTGTTATGACATGTTTTTAACAATTTCTCTATGATACAGTATGCACTTTCCATGATTTACCTTGTGGATTATTCTGAGTACGGACTGTTTGGCTAGTTTTGGTGACTTAAAAGTTACTTTTTACAGCAACATGGGAGGGTCCATGGCAAACTCACCAGGGATGAATTTCTACTCACTAGAGCACGATTTTCACATGCCATTGTCTAGTGGATTTTTTTAACCCTGTGTGTAGGATGATATATAAGAAAATGCTCTTCAATATGCTTAATACAGAGGTTTGTTCACTCAACCAGAAATCGAGGAGAATTGATTTACAAAAAATGCAAATTTTATGCTTGAAAAATAGAACTTAAAAAACTTCTCAACATCCATTGGTCTAGCAGCATGCTCTGTTATAGTTAGTTGATTATGAAGCCTGAATTCAGAGTCTCTATGCACTTTTACTAGAAGCTAAACAACATGCAGAAGTAGTGTACATCCAAGACTGCTCTCAATTGTATTTCACAGTTTTTTTTCATCAATGCACCTCAGCTAGGCAGTATTGATACAATAACTTACATCATGGATGACATAAGGTCAAGCCAATACTAACATCCACACTGGTGAAGCAGTTCTGTGTGCTCCATTTATGCTGTGAGATAACATTTGTCATGTAAAAAATTTAGACATTGTGAGAAAGAAATCTAACAATTGCTCAAAATGTACAAGCAAAATCCATGAATTTCTCAGGGTCAAAGCATGGACACTGCATGCACAATGTGCTGCACTAGAAAATACATTTAAAAAGTATGCACAATTTAAAATGCACTCAAATTCCACATTACACACAGACATACATCAGGGTATCTTTGCAATAATTGGTTACGAGTTATATTCTAGCATAATTAAGAGAAAACACAGAATAATTATTTACAGCCTATGCTATTTACATAGTGCAGATCTAAAGGAATATTTTCTCTACCAAAGGACATAAATAGCAATAAATGTTAATTACACCTGAGCATGTTTCACTCTTTAGACCAAAGTTCACAAATAGCAATAAATGTTAATTATACATGAGCATATTTCACTCTCTAGACCAGGTCTAGGAATTTTGTCCCAAGGCCTGGGTGTTTGTCAGCCCATTCAGCACTGGTCACCTTAAGGCCCCCCTAAGGTACTGAAGAGTAGGGAAGCTGAGTGAACATAAATTAAAAAAATAACAAATTGTAATAAATTGTGAGTGTGTGAAAGAGTGTGTGTTTGTTTCTGTCAGTGAGTGTGTGTGTGTCTGTCTTTCAGTATGTATGTTTCTCTGTCAGTGAGTTTGTGTGTGTCTGTCAGTGTGTTTTAAGTGTCAGTGTGTGTATGTGAGTGAGTGAGTGAGTGTGAGTGAGTGATTGAGTGTGTGTCTGCTAGTGAGTATGTGTGAGTATTGGTACTTTCATTCTAAAGGCATGTTCATGGTCACAAAAATTTGTTAAACTATTTAGGTGACTGGCCCCCCTCAAATAACATGGGAAATTTATTTTTCATCACCTTGTTTCCCATGCCATGCAGGTCTGTCCACAGCTGGCCACTCCTCCATGGCTGAGATCATCAGTCTTGATGATCTCAGCGAATCCAATGCTTTGAGGCTATTGTGCACGTGCAGCAAAAATACCACGCTGACCCAATCTGCATCTCCTCACAGAGATACACTGAATCAATGCATCTCTATGGAGACTGTTCAGCACCTCCATGCATTAAGCTGTAGTTCTAGTTTTGGTGACTAGTGATGTCCTGAACTGTTCACCGAACGGTTCGCGAACGGTTCGCCACAGACTCATCATTGAGTAAACTTTGACCCTGTACCTCACAGTCAGCAGACACATTCCAGACAATCAGCAGCAGACCCTCCCTCCCAGATCCTCCCACCTCCTGGACAGCATCCATTGTGAAGCTGCATTCTTAGTGAGTTGTCCAGGAGGTGGGAGGGTCTGGGAGGGAGGGTGTGCTGCTGATTGACTGGAATGTGTCTGCTGACTGTGAGGTACAGGGTCAAAGTTTTCTCAATGATGAGTCCGTGGCAAACCGTTTGTGGCGAACCGTTCGCGAACCGTTCGCGAACCGTTCGCGAACCGTTCGGCGAACCGTTCGGCGAACAGTTCAGGACATCACTATTGGTGACTAGAATGTATCTTCTTTAAGATCTGTTATTTTTGTCACTAAAAATAAAGCTTTGTTAGTTTAAAAAAAAAACAATCTGGCTCCTTTTTTTTTTTTTTAGCTGGATCCTAGATTCAAAGCAATTTTTTTAAGCCCTGCTCAAATACTACAAATGAATAATCTTTTCCCTTATTGTGTGTGTATACATTTGGCATTCATTAATCCTCTTTCTCATTTTGAAGTGAGGCAGGGATCTAATTTAAATTTAAGTACGCCAATTAAAAAGTAAAGAAATATATATTTGTAAAATAATCTATCATTTATTAGCATTATCCATTCATTAGCTAGTACAGCAAATTATTTTGAGTTTATAGATTAACTTTGTGGAATTTACCCCCTGGCAGCTTTCCGTGTAGGAAATTGTACATTTCCTGGTTACAACAAGCAAATTCTCAAAGGATATCAGGCAGAAAGTGACTTGGCTATTTTAACTTGCACTTTGCCAGCAAATGTCCCATGACGGAAAAGTTAACCACTTGACACTGTTAAGGAGAGTAACCAGAAGTAAATTGCTATCAGACCTTGACTTGTACATTTATACTCATTAACCTCTCCATGGCAAGCATAATATAATAAAGGGGTGTGCAAAAGGTAGATACCCAGGACCCCATGCTAGTCCAATGATAATGCTCACATAGCATCATAATAGGTACAGTTCTACAACAGCTGGGATTCTACCTTTTGGCCACTCTAAATTAAGTGCTTTACATGACCTTAGAGATCAAGTAGTGAAGAACTATCTTATTTTTAGTAAAATCTATCTAACAGGGCTATTCACTAAACACCAGATTTTGTCTGAATGGACAAAATCCAGTGAAAATTGCCATATTCCAAACACATTGGTAATTCTCATATTTACCAATGCCAAATGTTATTAGCATTTGGTCAGTCAGACCAAATCTGCAGCAATTGCCCAGATGCATTTGGTGTCCGGATTAAAACAAGCCATTGCTGCCCAGTCACTAGAGAAGGCCCTATACCCTTAGAGATGGAGTTGGACAATAACAGAGGGGACTTGTGGGTATCTTGTCAGGAACTTTAAAAAAATATTAATGGAGGCTGAAGGGGCGGGGGTGGGCACATTACCGCCCAGTTATTATTAGGCCCACAACCCCTCTCTGGGCCAGAGATAAAATTACGCAGGGGACATGTTTATGCTCCTTTCCCTGGTCCTACCCATTAGCAGTGGTTGTGGGCCTAACAACAACTGGTTGGAGGACATAGTGCCCTCTCCAGACCCCACCATTGGACAGTGAATGAGGGACTTAATTAATTATACAATGCAGAGGTGGACATGCCATGATTTACTCCACCCAAACTATAGTATGCCCTCTCCTCCCCAGTGGATATGGGTCCCCAATCCCCTGGGCCCTAACCCCCCAATAAAAAAAATAACCTTACCTGCCCTCCTCATGTTAATAAAACTAAAGAAGGGGCAACTAATCTAATACTTGTGAAAAAAATATATACTTACCATAAAGTCTTCTTTATTCTAATTCTTCTTACTTTCAGCTACAAAAAGAGAGTATGTTGCTACCATCTACTGGCTGTTTCCAGCATTAAAAGCACTTGGCTTTAAAGCTGAAACACCAGCATGCTGATTACAGTGTGTTCAGTACTTTACAGCTGACAAAGCCCAGCACTGATCATATTTGACATTGGGCCATATTGGAAGACCCTGTTACTTCATTTGAGCACCTGCCAGCACAAAAAAACTGCAGCTGAGTGTGATCTGCTCAACCCCAGCGTTTTCAAGGAAATTAAATGGCTGTATATAGCTCTCACTTTGTACGTTGTCTCCTAGGGGGGGCACTAAATGTGGCCCTATTTGACAGAGGGGTGTGCCCCAAGTATCGAATGATACCTGCGACTCCCTGGTGTGGGTAGGGACTTAATCCTGGTCACACCGTATTGCAGCAATAGGCATTTCAATTTAAGCGCTAAATTTGAGCACTGCCTACAGATCATTTGACAGTCTGGGGCCACTAACAATGGCCCCAGCTGACAGAGGGAAGCCCAAGGTATCGATTACTGTGTAAGGATTTATCCCTGCTCACACCAAAGTGTTAGTATGTGTCAATATGTCCCAGTATAAGATGTACTGACATATCCATATCCATATGTCATTAAAGGAACATTGTAGGCACCCAGACCACTTCAGCTCATTGAAGTGGTCTGGGTGCCCTGTCCCTGTCAGTTTAACTCTGCAATTGTAATTATTGCAGTTATTGAAAAACTGCAATAATTACAATCGGGGGTAACTCCACGACTAGTGGCTGTCTACCACACAGTCACTAGAGGCACTTCCTCTATTCATGAGGATATCCAGCATCAGCTAAAACCCCATAGTACTGCATCAATTAAATGCTTTCCTATTGGGTTGCCCTAATAAGATTGTGGCGCTAGACGCGCATGCACATTAGGTCCCAAACGTTGGCCGACTTCAGGGGAGGAGGAGATGAGGCAGGGCCTGATCGAGCACCAGGGGGACTTTGGCGCTGGATTCGTAAGTGAAATAATGTTTTTTTAACTCTGTGTGTGCTGCATGGTGAGCGCGAACAAGGGGGGCACTATAGAATGTTATAGTGATAGGTAATACAATTTTGTAAAAGTGGTTATAGAAATACTAATTTAGATCAGCTGTGCCCATGTGTTTTTTGTTTTTGTGTTATATAATTATAGGGTAAAACTAGACAGTTGGCAATAGTGTTATTGATTCTATTCTTAAAATAACTCTCAAAGTACAATAACCAATACAGCACCCAGTGGCAGAACTACCTCGGTTGCAGGGGTCGCATCTGCGACCGGGCCCGTCACTCCAGGGGGTCTGGCCGCACTGCGGACCCGTTGCGAACGGGTGCCCGTCATGTGTTGCGGCCTCGGCCATGCAGTATATCCCCTGGGGCCGCACGTTAACGGGCCACCCCATGGCAATGAATATGCAGGGGGCCCGGTCAGCACTGTGGCACTTTAACAGCGTGACCGGGCCCCCTGTGATGAGGTCAGAGCGCAAGGAGGAAGTGACAACCCCTGTCACTTCCTCCCAGCAACCACCGCAGGCTGAACCACCACTGCACCCCAGGGAAGTCACCCTTCTGCATCTAAAAGATCGGAAACAGGAGGGTGACTTAAACATTTTGCATGAGTGTGTGTGTGTTTGTATGTATGTCTCTGTATGTGTGTATGTGTGTATGTGTTTATGTATGTATGTGTGTGTCTACATGTGTATGTCTACATGACAGTATGTGTGTCATGTGTGTGTCTATGTGTTTGTCTGCATGTGTGGGGGGGCGGGGACATGTGTGGGGTCGGGACGTATGGGGTGGAGGGTAGACGATGGTGGGGCCCCAGGGCAATTTTCACACCAGAGCCCCGTAGTTTTCTAGTTACGCCTCTGACAGCACCCATCCCACAATAAGTAGTAAAACCGCGTAAGTACAGTTTTTCAAGTTACATGGATTCCCTGGTCATGTGCCTCACCTTTAGTCTTCTGCAGCAGGATGTGCCTATAAAAGAAAACATAGACAATCCAGGATCACTCTCATTGGTTGAAAGTACTCTGCTGCCATGGAGCATGATACTGCATATTTATAATAAAGAGGTGGCTAGCATTATAATAATATTTAATCATGTCAAGTAGACTTAGAAAGTATATTAATATATTTATAGTAAAAGTATAATATATGATGTCATTGTTGATTCATGTGACAGTAGGGAACATTTTGATTAACCGGTTTTGATAAACTCAACCATGCTTCCAGTAAATATGCTTGTACAGCGCTGACCCATACTATGTTGCCCTATTCTTCACAATAAAATATGCATATTATCAAATAGCTGGTTGTACACATCAGCACTACATATTTGTTCTGTTTTCCAAGAAACGGATGGCTGGTTTCTATCATCTTTCATCCTCAGTTTCTAAGATAAGATATGAATTCACAAATACAAATTCAGCTCCTTCTAAAAGTATTAAAATTGAGTAGCTGAGGATGGATTACATTTTATTACAAACACAAAACAGTTTCATTTTAAAAATCACAAGGGATATGCTGAGAACAAGACAGTGATTTAGCTACACTTGGTGCGAATTACAAATACCACTTTATATCTGAGAAAACAGTCAGGACACATTCAATCACCACACTTATTAAAATAAGCACATTATTTAAGAAATATTGCCTCATTTGCTGTCAGATTCCGATCATTGGATTGGCGCCAGTATTCTGGGGGTCATGTTCTATCTGTAGATCTGCAGCACAAAAGGTAGTTTACATGTGCATACAGGCTGCATTATATGTTAGGCCATTTGCTGTTTGTTAAGCCTCTCAAATTTACTATGACTCTTGTATGTATGGTTTGCACAGCTGCTTTCATAGAACACAGTCTAGAGCTCTACGTATTCAACCACAGAGCACTTTTTGCACAGAGTTGATGGGTACTTCCAATAACAATGCAGAGAAGGGGACTGATGTCACAATTATATACACACAAGTTATTTAGAGTCCGCATCATCTGTCCTACTAACCCTCCATTCTCTACATTATAGACTGGACTTGTGCATGGTGCATAAATTTGGTTCGGCCTAACCAATCGCTCTTACTGGCCACGGGTGGCAACATTAGTCCACATTCACTGGTCACATGTGGAGGTTGGGGATGGAGAGTGTTCTGTCTACCCACCTTACTTATTTTAAAGTTCCCCAACTAATGTCCATGGGTTCCACTCCATTCTTATTTAACAGGGGTCTTCTTTTAGTTTTAAAAGTTTAGTATATATGCCCCCCACCTGCTGCATGGGGGTATAGGCAGGT